GCCTCATAGTACCTTTTAAATCAGACAGGAGAAGGAAATAGGGGGCAGAGCCTTCTCTACGCCCTCCTCACTGTTTTAAACTATTTTAATGAACTGCCTTACATTTAAACTAAAGCATACCCTAATTTTTACCTGATTACATATTCCTTGGCACCAGTCAAGCAGCCATCGCGTTTTCTGGATTTCTGGAGGTGAAAAACAGTCTGTAAATAAAAATACTCTTCCCCACATGAAAAAAAAAACAAACTAACACAGTTTCTCTTTAAAATGGGAAAGGAAGACAAGGTTGAACTGTAACTGGCGCTATGAACAGATCACAGAAAGAATTTGACTGTAGTTTTTTCAGCCGTTGGAAGGAGAGTGCAATGGTATTACATAGTATTCAGGGAAAATAATTCACCCATGACAATGTGGATAGTGCTCACTGATTCAATTTCATATTATGTGGTCCCAGGAGTAATTTTGCACAATTTAGTCAAGTACTTGTTGAGTGAAATTGGCCATTTTACCATTTGGTCTTTGAGGTTGGGCACAGTGGCTCATACCTGTAATCCTAGCACTCTGGGAGGCCGAGGTGGGAGGACTGCTTGAGTTCAGGAGTTTGAGACCAGTCTGAGCAAGAATGACACCCTGTCTCTACTAAAAATAGAAAAATTAGCTGGGCGTCTTGGTACATGCCTGTAGTCCCAGCTACTCGGGAGGCTGAGGCAGGAGGATGACTTGAGCCCAGGGTTTGAGGTTGCTGTGAGCTACCATGATGCTGCTGCACTCTACCCTGGCAGATAGCAAGACTGTCTCAAAAAAAAAAAAAAAGAAAAGAAAAATTTGGTCTTTGACTTTTAAAAAGATTTTTGCCTTTTCTTTTCTTTTCTTCTTTAAAGACATGGGATCTTGCTATGTTGTCTAGGCTGAATTTGAACTCCTGAGCTCCAGTGATCCTCCCCGGTCAGCCTACCAAGTAGCTGGGACTACAGGAATGCATCATTATGCCCCATGGTCTTTGACTTTTTGGTGTGAAAGTAGAATCACAATATTTTAGAGCAAGAAAGATTTTGAGATTATCTAGTGAAATCTCCATATTTTATAGATGAGGAAACTGAGACCCAGAGTTGGAGCTCTGACCTGTGTCATGTCACTAGTTACTAGCAGTACCAGGGTAGACATTCTTGCCTCCTACTCTTCAGATCAGTGATATTTTCACAGTCCTGTTCTGCCCATCCTTAGGTTTTAGGCTGTCTGACAGCTAGATTTTCTCCTTGAGCTAGATTTTAAATAGCTATTATAGATTTGTTATGTTTTTTCCACAAACGTCACTGTGAAATTAGTATTGACAGTTTTTCATTGAGCATTTGTAAGAATTGGCTATGTGTGTCTTTTATTTAGCTGATTTTGTAGTTCATTCAGGCCTCTGCCTTTAATAGTGGTAATAATTAAGACTCTGTCAACATGGAACAGGATGGTGATCTGAAATAGTAGCTCTATTTGTAGAATAAATGGGAAGTGTCCCTCTTTCAGGCGCTCCAGAAGTAGAGAGAGAGACAGAAGCCGAGAGCGAAGACGATCTCGCAGTAGAGACAGGAGACGCTCAAGGAGTAGAAGCCGGGGCCGGCGGTCCCGATCCTCCAGTCCTGGCAATAAGAGCAAGAAAGCTGAGAACAGGTAATGTTTTTACTGGACTGTATCTGCCATGCAGGTTGGGAACTGGCTCTCTTCTCTGTGCATTCCTTTTTTTTTGCCTTTTAATTCATACATAATTACTGGATTTGGCTGGCAGAATTTTATTTTAGTAGGTTATGAAGCCTGTAACTCAAATCGAAAATACTTGATTCTGTCAGTTTTAACATTCAATGCATTGTACCCTTATTTAATATATCCTATTAATGGTCAGAAGTAAATTTTGTAGACATCTTTGCAAGAATTCTGTTTTTTCCCTTTGAAATTATTTTGTTAGGATTTCTGACATTGGTTGACAAATAACTTTTTAACTCATGGTATGCATTGGTGAATTGCTTTTCAGGATGGGAGAGCTTTGCCTTTGTAAGTAAAATGTACACAATTCCTTGAGATGCAAGAACATT